AGTCAACACTGATTTGAAGGCAAAGATGATAGATAGATAGATAGATAGATAGATAGATAGATAGATAGATAGATAGATAGATAGATAGATAGATAGATCAGGGCTGTGAAGTGCTCTGAAGAACGAAGCACTGGTCTCCATGTCAGAAAAACTGCTGTGTCTGTTTCCCAGCCAGGGGCTGCATTCACTCAGCCACACATCATGACATACCTCTTCCTAGTCAAATCTGCAGCATTGCATTGCCAATGAAATGCTCATAATTAAGCATCTATAGTATGTGATTTTTTTTCTACGTTAAATGCTATGACAAAATCAAATACAAACTGCTTCAACAGTGTTTGAACTACAGCTATTTAATGGATAGTCACATGAAATGAGCACTTAATAAAATGCCATATTACAAGAAATTAAATTGCACAATTAAAATCTTGTGAATTTAAAGAATCTGTTAACCTGTGAAATTATTATATACCCAACACATGCCAAAATAAAGGTGTTTTTTTTTTTAGCCAAGCCATAAACATTCTTATCCATCCATAAAAAATCAACAAATATTTTAATTGTAATCTTAGGGTTGCATCTCTACAAACTTCCATGCTGGCTTGATATCAGCATTTATTCATTAAAAAACTAACAGTGTGCTACTAGAAATGTTTTTCTTATAAAAATATATTTTAAAGTAATCCATTCAGTATGTGAATTCTATAGATTATTATTTATCAATTCTTGGGTATTAATAAATATAATACTATTAGAAATGTAGAAGCTGCTGCAGATTATCCTTCACAGTAGACATAACTGTCCATAAAAAAACTTTAAGAAACATAGTAACTTACAACTTAATCCTATGAATCTGAAGCAGTGTGAATAGATTTCATGATCTGAGATTATAGTGCAGTGTGTGTGTATTCCGAAGAAACCATGAACGCTCTGTCATTTTTATGAGCTATTTTGCAAAACATACTATCCAAGGATTTGCAGGTCACTAGTTATGAATATCTGCAGTGTCACAGGATTGTTCATTTTAATGAATTCAAAGATATTCAACAATCCAGTATTCCTACCTACACTAAGAACTCATGAACATACAGTACTCCATATGTGTCTTTTAATTCTGTCCCCATACACTAATTTTCCTTGGCTCTAGCAGCATTTTTTAACTCTCATTTTTTCTAAGTTGCAGAAAATTGAGTGCTTCTGCTTCATACTGTTATATACAATTACCTTTGTATACTACTGCTACATTGGGATGTTAATATTTTGAGGATAAAGTGTAAGGCATAACTACTTGTATACACCTATCAACTTCCAGCTGAAAGGAACATTTACACTAAATCATAATCTTAAAGCATTTCAGTCATTTGAAAAATGATGCCTAGATTTACAGATAAAATCGTTGTAATTAACTACCAGATCAATTTGTGATTTATTGTGGTTTTAGTACAGAGAATCTATGTGCCTGCTTACTTAACAAATAGTTAGGCATTGTTATATGGGAAATTAAATTCTTACTGAACTGATTTACAAAGAATATATTACAATTTTGAAATTAAAGCAAAGGAACAAGTTATAACTTGATTTTAATGTATCTATTTCTATGGTACTTACAATCATACAAAAATGCTAGAAACATTTTTAAGTTTCCTTAATAAAAATTCCACTGCTAGAAATAAATTAGTTTGTAGTATTCTCCTTGGCATTTTAAAAACAATACAAAACATTGTATAAAACACTATTTATAAGAGCCATTATAATATATCTGGGTAATGTGTGACCAATACTTAATGCAGTGCATTGTCTACAAGTGTGTGCTATGGGCCAGGTAGTTCCTGATTCAACTGTTGCTTCACTAACACTGGAACGTTCCTGTGCCATTTTTGTACACATAGAAGATACAATGTGGTCTCTACAGGTCCAGGTGGGTTATAAAGCATACACTTAGCCACATGTGCAGACAGAAAAAACAGACTACAGTCTTAGCAATAATGTGTACCTACAAAGCAATGGGAGGTACTTTCTGCCTTCTAGAAGAAACCTGGAAAATCCTCAAATCCTCAGAAACCTGGCCAGAATGTGCAAATCTATCTGGGAAAACTGACAAGTATGCCTTAACAGATAAAGTATTCTGGGAAAAGTGGGCATGCAGCAAAATCCCTAACTGAGTTTATTAAATTCTTCAGTGAAATGAGAATGGAATCATAGAAAGGACTCAGTGGAATAGTATGCTTATGCCCCAAGAGCATAAAAGGCCTGGATCCATATGATCAGAGTAAGTCAATCTAGTGTTTCCTTCCTTTTCCCTTGGTGCCTGTAGCATATTAAATATAGAAAACAAACTATAGTACAGCTTTCAGGAATGAAAGAAATATACACATGCATACATGTGGCACTGCTTGAATTTACACACTCCTTTTTAGGAATAGTGTTCTTTAAAAAATTGTGAAATGATTGTTCTTAAATTATCATCTACTTGGAGGCAAGAATGTAATATTCTTATTGTCAGAATGCTCAAAATGGGTTATTATTTTTTTCCACAACAAAAAAACTTCATAAAATGCTTCTATATAGGCAGTTATACTGGAAACAATAACAGTAAAATATTTTTCAATCATCTTTTGCTTTACAGGAACTAGAAAACCATACTGGGACTCTTTTACTATATTAGATTCCTCAGTGAGGGGAAAACTTAAATAATTTTCTGACAAGATTTTTTTTTCCAGAAATTTGATGCAGAGGAGGTACATTTTTAATTCCAAAATAGAATGTCCTTTTTACAAGCCCTTTGTTTTTACAAAATATAAAATTCCTAAAAAGCTCATAAATAACTTACTAAAATCTTTAAAAGAAATAGCTAAAAAAAATGAGCAATGAATGCAGAATCTCTGTTTCAAGCTCCTGGAATCCTAGATACATTATAAGCAACAAATATTTCAAATTAGTACATGTTCCTCTAAAAAACCTGAAATAGTATAGAATCAGACCCAACAACACAACCAAAATACATCTTGGGTAAATGCATATGCTTACAATATGTTTCACATGCTTTTAAAAGGTACAGTAGTTATTCATTAGCAAGTGCAACATTTAAGCTTGATATCGACTTTGAATTTTAAGATTCTTGAAGCATAGCTTTCAATAATTCATAAAGACAATTTTTTAGTTTACATTATTATACAATGACATTTCCGAGAATGAATGTAGTTCCTGTACTCTGCAAGCTGTCTCAGGTACATACTAGAAGGCCATCTATGCATCTCTATGAAATTGCGTTCCTCCACTGAAGAAAAAAAAGCAAAGCATTGTATATCTTTTTAATGCTAGAAGACTGCTTATCCAGCCTAGTAAGTCTGAAAGTCTAACATTTTTTCTTTATAAGCCAGAAATCTGTGTGGTTTACCTTATCAAAGTATGACCGACACTTCCTTGGTCCCACAAGATGACAACATTTAATTGAGGGGACCTGGGGTGCGCCCACTCTGCCTGAAGATATTGGACAGGTAGAAGCAATTGGAGACAGATGGACCTGCAAATAACCAGGCCCTATGCCATGAAGGATTTTATAGGTAATGACCAGCACCTTGATTTGCACTCAAAAGCCAGCTGGTAACCAATGCAGCTCATGTAGCAGCTATGACACATGGGTATGAGAGTTGGGTGGCATAAATATTTAGTAAATCATCATCATCATCATCATCATCCAATATTGCTTGTGCCACTGCATTTTGAACCAGCTGTAGCTTCCAGATAGTCTTCAAGGGCCGCCCCATGTAGAATGCATTGCAACAGTCCAATCATGAGATGACTAGGACAAGAGTGACCACTGTTTTAGGCCTGTATTTCCTTAATCCCTCAAAGCCATTTGCCCCCTTTATAAGCTTTTTGGAGTTTCCCCTGCAACCTTTGACAGTTTTGGAAAGGTTTGTAAATCTTAAGTATCCAAGAAATTGCTTCATGCAATATTTGCTGAGTAAGCCTCAGTTCTTAAGGGTTAGGACCTAAGTAAATGTAGAACGACAGATTCCACTTGATTTAAAATTGGTGGCAAGACAAAAACCTACCCTCTTGCTGAAAGAATATCAATTTATACACCTATTTGATATAGAAAACTATACAATTTGTCCCAAAATATTAAGTTATTTAGGAAACAATTCTGAGAGGAGTTCCAGTTTCTATATCTGGAAAATATTTTCAGAAAACAAACTATTTGTTTGGAAAATTTCTATGGGGTTCTTCAATTCCGAGAATATCTTTACAGAAAATGCAATTACCAATTAATAAAGGAGGATTTGGCTTTCTGAATCTGGAGCTATATCATCATGGTTACCTATTGTAAAGTATTAAACACTGAAAGCCAACAACTGGTGTTAATTTTCTGATTTGGGTAACTTTGGAATATACATATATAGCACCTTTGGTTGGATGGACAGTATCAGGATCTAAATATACTAAAACTCTAATATCTTTGGAAACAACTTCATCAGTTAGAAAGCTATGAAATGTAATGTCTAATAAAAAAAAAGATTTGACCCTTTTTCCCATGCCAAATTGACTTTATGGGGAAACCCAACTTTAAAAATTGGGAAAAGGTGGTGATATGGAAAAATTGGATGGAAGTGGGGATATTTACTTTGGACCAACTGATGGATGATGAAGATGAGTTTTTAACACACTCTGTGCTAAGAGATAAATAGCATCTATCAGATGTAACCCAAAGGCAATATTTACAGCTACAACATTTGTTAACAACATTGTTTGGACCAGCAGAATTTTCAGCTTCTGAGACACCTGAGATATTAGAACAACTTGTTAAACCCTTTAAAACTAAAAAAACTATTAGTTTTTATAGATATTGATTATCAATAAATCAATTTGATAGGCAGATGTTAAGAAATGAGTGGAATAAAGAATCAGAGGTTCCTCTATTATCTAGACAATAGGAGAGTGTTTTAACTTCTATAACAAGAATATCAATGGACCTCAAATTATGTCTTATACAACAGAAGATAATATTTAGAATTTATTAGACTCCATTACATTTGTATAGAAAAGGATTGTCAAAAGCATCATTGCTGGAGATGTAATAAGGATAATGCTTCTTTAAAACATATGTTTCTACAATGTCCTATACTTACCAAGTTTTGGGAGAAAGCAGTGGACTATATAAATATGATTCTGTGACAAAAGCTAAAATTTTCATAGGATAATATTCTTTTGAACTATATACCTAGTACATGGAACTTGACAACCGGACAACATAAATGGATTCTCGGCACCCTTACTATGGCCAAAAGACTGATATTGCAGCATTGGAGAGATAAATATGTGGCCCCATATATTCAATGGATTGATTGCACTTGCTACTTACGAGCGGATTGCCTATAGACATAGACTTTGCATGCATAAGTATAATGAACTCTGGGACTCACTTATAAAAAATACAGTAGGTTAAAAGCAAACATGATAATCATATAAATCTATTAGAAATATATATGTACTTGAATAATATTTATACTAGATAAGCATATACAGAATTGTAATTATTTACTGTTATAATGACATATTGTTTTTTTTCTTTGTTATATTTCTTTCACTTTTTTGTTAAAGCACTTTATGTATTTTTTTCTTCTTCTCTTTTTGGCAACGTATGTATCTCCATTATTATTATTTTTGTGGTTTCTTCTTTTTTTCTTTTTTGTTATTTATTTTTTATTGCTTTTTAATTAATAACAAAAAAGTTTTTTAAAAATTAAAAAAGTTATTTAGGAAACAAGTTGTTAATTACCTGAAAGATCTTCAAACTCAGGTTTCTGACTGAAGATTAAGTAATTAGAAGCAATAAAATGAAGCAGCCAATTTGAAAGGCAATCAGAGTTATGAAACTGTAAAAAAAGATTTAAAAGAAAAACAGAGGAGCATTGGTACTATAGCAAAGAGTTTGAATCAAATACAGTAACTAGAGCTCCTTAATTTGCAGAAAGATAAGTGTCCATATATACTTCTAAAGTACATCATAAGTAACTTGATTCCTGAAGTATGTATCATGGGTAAAAAAACATATATCAAATATGTTAGATGTTAGCGTTTTCAGCATAATGGATAACCATCCTACGTCTACATGTGCTACGTTTTGTGACCATAATAAGAATCTGGAGAAACAGGTTTGTATTTTTAAAGTTGCCTGAAATTGGTGAAAAGTCTATACCCACTCCTCGTTTAGTGACCGAGTTCCATTCCAACAACCAGGTTGTTAAGAAAAATGGTTGCTAAGTGAATTAAACATGACTGAGAAAGAGAGAGAGAGATGCGGCAAAGATCACTAGTTGCTGCTGTCTCAATTCAGATAAAAATTCTCTCGTACAGTTATGCCAGCATTACTCTCACTCCAGCACACACTGTCATTATTCATTATTATTATGTACTAGTATACTTTGTTGATTAGTCAATTGACCATATCAAAGCATAGGCATCAGCCAGAGTAAGATACATTAAAATGGAATAAAGTGAGGTACAGTATAAGATAAAATAGAATACAGTGAGATAAAATAGATAAATGTAGTAAGGTAAGATAGAGTAAGGACAAAAAGTAGGGTAAAATAGTATAAGATTAAATAGAGTGCATAGATATATAATAAAGTGAATATTAAAATTTGAAAACAGTATGTGTTTAGGTAAATTCATCACCTTTGCATGCAACCCCGATGTTGTTCTCTGTTGGACAGCCCTGACTATAAATTTGACTGTTCTAGTGACTACATAATTGTTTGTGCCCTGACGGAAATAAGATAATCTTTTGTTAGAGTAAATGCACTCATTGGTCAGAAAATGATTTTTTTATTACTATTTATTACTGTTGGAGTACCACCAAACAAGGAGTAGGTATAGTACTGTGCAAAAGTTTTAGGCAGGTGTGAAAAAATGCTGTAAA